CCCTCACCCCCCCGCGTTGGAATTTCGAAAAATCCTTTCTTAGTGTGCGTTTCCATGACGTACCCTAACTGTGTACCAAATTTCACCTCTTTAGGTTAAGCGGTTTGCTCTGGGCGATGATGAATCAGTGAATGAATGAGTGAGTCAGTCAGGACAAGCAATTTTATATATTTAGATTAATTATATTAAAGTATTTAAACTTAATGTAAGCAAAATTATTAATACAACGAAATAATGCATGATTAAATTTGCATACAGTGAATGATGTAGTGTTTATGCAATGAGTGAGAAAAAGTTACATCATTTGTTCAGTTTTCCATCATAATTTCATAATGATTGATTACTAGAAATTTTGAAAGAATTTATACAGTAAACAAAATCAGATAATGCTTTCTAGCTATACGTTCTCTACGGATAAGTTAAAGTATAACCCACTGTATTAGTTGTCTGAAACCATAAGAGGATTATACCAGTCAATTTTTTCAACTACTCTTCAGCTTTTGGGATAATTATTTCAAAAACACGTCAAAGAATTAATGAAAGAGAAGACTGCATTTTGCATCTATCACTTCTCTTCATGTAAAAGCTTATTTTGAATTGGTTCAGATATTATACTTTGTGGATTTTTAAAAATAATAAATCGTTAATTCACATCTGGAGAAAACATCAATTTGTAGAATCAGTTCTATAAAGCGAATATCGCTTATTTTTAAATGAAATTTACGCCAAATTTTTGTTGAATAGGCTCGTTCCTCTTGTTCACCTGTAGAAATGGATCTAAAATAATGTATTTTGTTCTAACTTTTTATCTTATTTTCTATTCGTCCACTTAGAATTCAGCTTTCCAATGATTTCATTGTAATTTAAGATACTCGAAAAGTGTTTAACTTATTTCCAGAATTGTTTGTTCGTGAGAAGTATTCGTATTCCTTAATAATCTAACTTTGATAGCATTTGACATCTCAGCTTAAAATTTCATGTTTCCGTGATCATTATATATCGAAATAAAAACTTATTAATATGCTAATTATAATGTTATGTAATCTTAAGATTAGACCGGATGCCCGAGCACCTGAGATGTCAGCCGACTGTTCTTGGAGACTCGGAAACGAATCCGGAAGGTTTGAAAAATTCCAGAAATTTTTAGGAAACGTTCTTCCCGCATATGTTGGTACTTGTCACTCACCACAAGCTGCCCCATTGTGGATTAAGACATTGAACCACTATAGGTCACGATTGACTTGATAAAAATTCTCATAGTGCCCATAGGGCGAAAACAGTTTTAAAAAATCCTTAAGATTAATTATACACACACTCTGTTTTGTATATTTCATTAATTTTCCTAAAATGATCTTTAGATTTTAGTTTTGGATACTAATATTTTTTAAAATAGGCTTTTATTTCTTTAATTATTAAGATATTTATTTGTGTCGTTAGGAAAATTTTTCACATATTTTATAAATATCAATTATTTAATGTCAAATCTAAATCGATCTTTAATGTTTGGATTATCATAAAAACTTATCTCTCTTTGATGTTGAATCTTAAATCAAATTATAATAAAAATTTTATTATGTTTCTTGGCAGAAAATTAAGACAATCATTTTTTCAATGCAATCAAATGGCCAAGGTATCATCTTGTCGAGAACAAAATAACGTCGAAGATAAAGTTCACGAATTACTTACGACATTTTTAGACGCTTCTCACTGTTCTGGTCAATCGGTTATAAATTCTTTCAAGTACTTAATCATTCTTTGTGTATGGTATGCTTACCTGAAAAGGTTAGGTTAACAAAGACTTTTTTAAGGTATTGTGATGTTGTGATAATTTAGAATTCATTTTTTTCTGTTTAAAATTCATAATTGTTTTTAGTCAAATGAATGTAATTACAATATAATAAATAAATTATAAAAATTTTAAAATACGTTGTTATTTATTCTTAGTATTATAGAATTTACATACAAGAATAAAATTTTAAGCATCATAAACATAATATTCGAATAGTAGTGAATTTATTAGACGGCTATAAAATATTTAAAATTATATAAAAGAGTAATCTTCATAAAAAGATAAAAGTTTTATTCCAAAAACAAAAATTCATATAATTTGTTTTTTTAAAAAAGAAACGTTGCTAGGTTCAATAGGATATATTTGAAACTTAACAAATGTTGAAGGCCAGTGAAAATAGTAAAAGCTGAACATTTTTACAGAATTTCTAATGTTTAAGAGTCGTATGTAAAGCTAGGTTCATACTTTCTTACGAAACAAATAATAGTCAATTTGATTGATCAAGGTTGATTGATCGAACAAACCGAAGTTCGGCAAAGATTGAGATATTTTCAACTCCTAATGAATTGGTCGAACATTCTCCGATAGAGACAAACTGACAGTTCGTATCTACTTCATAGCGGTTTGTATTTGTATACTAATTTGAATCCAGCTTAATTATAATTAACAAAAGATATATTCATTTTTATATTTATATGTGGAATGACCATATTTTCAAAATCGAAATGAGGACAACTAAAATTCGTAAGTGGCTAATGTTAAAAAAAAAGAACATATAGAAATCAAATTATTATTTTAATGTATTCATTGCAGTCATCGTACTAACTACAAAAATCGGAGTATTTTACTTTAAAGTGAATTTTATATCAATTAGAAATTTTATCGCGAGTAATGCCATTTTATAATGCCGTAAGTTAATATGAGATGGCGTTATAAGCGCGTGTATGTATTATGTATTTCTCGTGTTTTTTCGTATAAGAAAAATTAAAAGTTAATTTAATTAAAATTTTTAAGCCGAATGTTAAACATAAAAGAGAAAATAAGTAAAAAACTGAAGGATATTATAAATCTTTACGATGTATCAGTATCGTAAAGATTTATAATATCCTTCAAAACGAATGATTCATGAAAGGCTTTCATAGATTATTTAAACAGTAATATAAAATATTTAGCCAGTTGGAATGGGAATACATCAGTTGCAAAACATTTTCTAATTTTGATAATCTTGCTTATCATTTCAAATTCAAATGTATGCAAATACAAATGTATATATGTTCTAGCATTTACATATCATGTTTCGTGTAATAGCATTTTTATTTCCTGTGAAATTCATTTTATCTATATATGTGTGTATTTAGAGCATAGTATCATAAATCTACATTTACCCAATTACTAATATGATCAACAAATGGCTGCATATTTTTTAAATTGAGGAATTTAGAGAAAAAGAAATGAAAAGTCTACCAATATTTCTAAAATTGAAATGTTTGGAAGTTATTCGGATAGAAAAGTTGCATTTGTAGAAATTGAGGTGAAGTTTTTAAAATTTTTATGTTAGTCAGAAGTGAAATTTAGTGATAGAAAAGCATCTTTTTCTCTGTTATCACCCATCAATTTCTCTAGTCTGGACGATTAGTTCTCGGGAAATCTTGCGAATAAACATTAGACGAACAAACTGAATATAATACTTTTTAAATCAAAAATTGCATTAACAAACTTAAGATTATTATTGAAAATATTTAAGTGCGTTACTTATATTTCTAATTGCTTATGCAGTTGAAACTGTCTATCTCGAATCTNATACATTGGTCCCTTCTCATAGCAGAAATATATTTATTTATTTGTCAAGTTTTCATTCTTTAAACCTCGGACCTAACATAAGAATTGCTCTTGGGATTCTGTTAACGTTCCCAATAACTGTTGTCAGTAATAAAAGGTCCTTTTCCAAGTATTTCTTGTGTCAAGAATGCACAAGAAATACTTAGTAGTTTAGCTATGCTTGCAATAGAATAAGATTTATGCAATCAGATTAATTTTCAACAAATTATCAGAGACTTTGCCGAAATAAATATCAGGAGAAAGCATTTTAAATTTGTGTTTTATATTTTTCAAAATATTTTGTATTCTTGTTTGTATTTTTACGTTTTGAAATTTCTTTTTCTTTTTTTTCGATAAACAACTATTTATTTTACAAAATAAATAATTTGTTAACATTTAACGTGTTTGTGTTTTTGGGGTGATGTTATTTCATGTATGGAGTAAATCAGATCTTTCCATTAAACCAACACTTTGATATCTCCATATTAACCTTAGATAGATATTGTAGATGGAATTTTGCTCATTATCCGAGTGCCTGATCCACCAATATGGGTGAAGGACGTGCCCCGATCTGAAATAGCTACTTATTCTTGATAAAAATATTTTTTTATTAACTTTATTTTTATTCGATTATTAGACTTGTTAACGGATGTTGTCGATAGTAATTTTAAGGAAATCAACTTTTAGTTAGAAACAACAAATTTAACACTAAGAAAAGCGTTTATTTATTTAAATATTATATACTTCTGAATATTAAACCTAGCAGCAAATAAACAACAATTTAAAACAATAAAAAAGATTTTTAAAACGCGTTTTAGACACTTCCTGTTTGCATTCAGTTATCTTTAAAGAAGTAGAATTCCTTTAACTGTTAAATCTAAGTATTGTAAAAATAATTATTAAAATATAATGTTAATAAAATTTAAATTAAAGGAAAAATACTTTAAAATCTGAATATTCTGTATTTAAATTTACCTTGCTGTTGGAACGTGATAATAAATAACCGTTAAGACAATTTAAAATGATTTTCTGATATAATCAAATCACAGTTTACAAAATACTATTCATCATTGAACTCTGCAATATGCAAAGGATATTAATTATTTTATTATTTTTTTTCGAAGAAGTTATTAAAATTATCGTTTCATTTGATACCAGATTTAAAAAAAAAATTAATTTTTAGGTTGTACCTAAATTCAGTGAAATATTTTAGTAAGAAAGTTTAGTACAAGTGAGAATAAATAATCTAGTGAAGGAAATAAAAAATATTCACTTCATCAAAGAACATATTTAACATAATTTAAATAATTTAATTAGAATTTTATCATATGTATGAATAAATAGTTAAAAATTTAGCCTGGTAATAAAGGACGATAACAGGAAATTAATAAATTTTTTTTAATTTTCTTCAAAAACAAATTAAAATGTTTGTTATTGTATTTTAATTTTGGAGTTTAATAATAAACTCTGCAGTTTCAAGTTTTAATAATTTATTTTACAATTATTATATTTTAAAAAATAGCACGATATTTCACCGATGAATACAAATTACATTTCTGTAACTATAATTTTCTGTTTTTTATTAATTAATAAATAAATATTATACATAAGTAATAAACTATTTATTTAATTTATGTAAACATTTCATATTTACTCTATTTCTGAAAAAAAAATTCTACAATGATAAAATATTTTATCTTTAAAATTTTGTAAATTATCTATTTTAATTAATGTATAGCTTACGATAAATAATAATCTTATTCTAGCATTTAAAATATATATGAAAAGGCTTTCGCTTTATCAGTTTGTATATCGTTCTTATTAATAATTCTCCGAATTTAGTCTGACAAATGTTCTCCTTGCGAACGTTTCCTGTTTGTATCCGGTAAAGAAAAGGAAATCATTATTCTCCATTTCCACTATTGAAGTAAAAACGACAGACTAAAGAAATATGTTAAAAAGGATTTATTTAATATGTCTTCTTCTTATTCCCGTAAAACTGCAAGGTAAGACAATTTTTAATGTAATTAAAATACATTTCTTTCTTTTAATTAACATAAATAAATAAGTATATAAGGAAAAATAATATATATTAGTTTCCTCATATATTTAGCTATTTGCTTTGTATATGATTAGTTATTTGTGTTTATACGTTCTAATAATAATTTTAAAGAATACGCGTAAATTGGTTTATAATGAATAATTTATTCTTTAAAAATAGAGGAATAAAACATGTATTATTATAAATTTAAATTTAATCACTTTATCATTAAAATTAAAAAACAAAAACGCATATTCCACCAACATAATAGTTTCGTGTAAAGCTATAGATATATTGTAGCGTCAGAATATTGTACTGTATTATTAGATTCATTCAATCTTTAATACAATTACACATTAACTTGCATTAATTTGGTTTAGTTTATATGATAATGATATCAGAATTTATTATTTAAAAATACAATATATAAGACGAATGTATTGTACTAAGATACGCACTCAGATATATTACAGTACAGTACGTATAACATGTATATTTTTCTTCGAATAAATCGTGCAATAATTTACCCTACATCCGTACTTATGTACTTTATATATATAGGGTGGAAAGAGTTTAAAAGTTGAAAAAATAACTTATATATAAAAGTATATTGTATATCGTATAATACTTTTTATATCTTTTACACTCTTCCCCACCTGTGGACACTAAGAGGGCTTTGTTTCCATACCATCGTGGGTTCGGCTAAGCCCATAGTGGGGTGAGAACCAAAACTAGGCATATCCAACACTGACCACCCATGTCCGGATTCACTCTAGGTCTCTTAGAGTGATGGCCAAGTCTGTGAAGGCTGACGCCTTCACAGACTTGGCCATCCGGCTGTCTTAGTTTATAGTATTATAGAATTAATATTATCGAACCATCATGTTTATTGTAGCATATTTACTGTTAAAAAAGTTTCCTAATCATAATAAGAAATTTTATAAAGTATATTTTTATTTCTCTGTGAAAGGAACTATAGTATTATAACATGCAGTTCTATTATTTGACTTTAGTAATGCGTTATGTCTTAAAGTTAAATTACGTGACTATCTGTATATAATAAAACAAAATAAAGCATTTTAAAATGTTATAAACTTAAAAATAAAAGTAACATTTAAAAGTAATTTAAAATGTCCAAACCTCTATTTGCATTTT